CACCACGAGTTTGAACGTTTAACGTTATCAAAAGTAGCAAACCATCTATGCTTTTTATCACACATCCATAATAAAGCTGAACGATTATTAATATAATATTCAGAAAGACAAGCTCCCTTTCTATTATAAGCCAATTGTTTGGCATCTTCTAGTGTACAAGGCCTATTAGTTGCGCAATATGGACACCACGTCTTATTATTTTTCACATTGTTAAAAGATGCATTCCACTCATGCCCTTCAGAACAACGCCATGATAAAGGTGAAAAACTATTATCATACATTTCGGAAAGGCATTCTCCATTCTTGCTAAAAGCAACTTGCTTAGCATCTTCAATTGTATGACTGACCTTGTTTGTGCAATATGGACACCACGTCTTGCCATCTTTGATATTATGAAGAGATGTAGTCCATTCATGACCATTTGCACATTGCCATCGCATTGGGGTATTAGCATTAATGTATTCAGCAGAAATACATGTTCCATTTCTACTACGAGCCAATTGCCTTGCATTCTCAATTGTAAGAGGTCTATTACCTGCGCAATATGGGCACCATGTCTTACTATTTTTTATATCATTAAAACTCGCCATCCATTCATGTTTTCTAGTACAACGCCATAACAAAGGTGAGCGATTATTAATATATCTAGTTGAAAGACAGAGTCCACCACGTTTTTTAGCAATCATACATGCATCACTCAATGATAGCCATTGTTTTTTAGCTGTAGTTGAATCTCTTTTTGTAAATCCAATGGAGTATCGAATCTTAATCTAATTGCAAGTGGATCATCTTCTGGCTTGTCTAAGCCAAACACAATGAATTCTCCTTTACGGAGGTATCCGTTAATAACTATGGAAGCATCTTTTACATCATTAGTATAACGTTTAATAATTTTTGAAATATCTTCATATGAGCTACCTGAGTTAAATATCACTAAATGGGAGATATTTTCACGAATAATAATTGGAACTTTGTGATATTTTTGCGTTACATAGATTGGACTTACATGTATATTTCGATGACGCCCATGCGGAATGTTGGAATAATATAAGATTTACCATGTAACTTTATTTGAAATTGGTTTTTATTCGGATCGAGAATACCTTGAACTTTTCGAATCCATGTTAAACATAACATTGGTTCGGGTTCACCATTATCAATACGAGTAAATTTTCCGGTAGCTGTGACGGTTTTACCATTCTTATCTTTTATACTGACTGGCACATCCGTAAACCATCCCAGTGATTCAGTGATATGTTTAGAGCTACCTTTTATATTGAAGTTAGATAAGTTGTCAGCTTCCCACCCCAGGGCATTAATTGTCGAATCATTCAAAGATCCAAACTCACTTCCTGGATCTAAAAAAGATTCAGAAATTGATAAATCATTTATATTACAATGCAAGTACTGTAAGGATGAAAACCATTCATCTGATTTTTTCGATTCATTCCCCCAATCCCTTCGAGATAAACACATTTTGCGCATTGCTGGTGAAAGCTTTGGTAATAGCTCATCATATGTTTCAGGACGCTTATTTTCTATTAGTAGTTGTTTTTTTTTTCCGAATCATCATCATACCATATATCGTTTTCTTCATCATATCCACTCTTATTATCAACTCCTTCTTTTGAGGATATATAGGCTTAAGAGGAGTAAAATAAGACCGTTTTAGGTTAGATTTTGCAGTATTGTCTTTAGGTATATTTAGTTTCTGAAATTCTTTGGTTAACTGATTTACAGCATTACGAGTCTCATTTATTCCATCCTCTACTATATCAATTCTAGTAGAAACATTACTTTGCTGTGCGTGAGGTCTTTGAAAAGGCTTTATAGGATAATTTGAATCAAAACTTTCCTTACTAAATATACCCAAATCATTTAAATATTTGGTTAAATAATGGTTTTTTATACCTTCTTCTGTATTCAATGAAGATGGTGGTCCTTTTGGTTGTCTAATGATTTGTGGAAGTGGTATCTGTTCTTTTTGAGCAACTGGTTGCTGGATCATTTGTGCTTGAAATTCGGCTTTCTGTTTTTCCAATAAGGATTGATATTCAGTTTTTTGTTGAGCTAATGCATTTTGAAATTCGTTTTTCTGTTTTTCTAATAAAAACTGATATTCAGTTTGTTGTTGAGAAACTGGAATAACTTGTGATAAAGAATAGGATACTGGATTTAAATTAGTTTGACTTCTGGAATTCTTCCACTTAAATTTGGTGTATGCTCTAACCACGTATTTTTTAGTTCGGTGAAAAATGCATTAATGCCCGCTGGATTAGCAATTCTCATCAAAGTATAAAAATCACCTGTTAAATGACTTTTAAGGAATCCTATAACTTGCACATCATTATCTGGTACACTAATTATTAAAGGTCGAATTCTGGCTTCATAAGTATCAGGAGTATCATATGGTTGATATTTTTATTGAGTCAATTTTTGAATAGCTGATTGCTGATTTCCAACAGTATCTTGTTGATATTTTGCTTTCATTCAAGCTCGTAATGTATCTGGAGTATTTATAACTGGATTTCCTACTACAAGACTATCATTTGCTGGTACTGGAACATATTTTCCACCCATTATAGATTTTAAAATATTACACTTTACTGCATTGTCAAAATCTCCCACATTTGCATTCTCAAGAACCATTATATGTCCTTCAAGATATATTCATAATTAAATAACTTTATCCAAGTAATCATCAGGTAGTTCTTGGCCTATATAAGGTTGAAATTTTGCAAGAGCAAGAGATATTAATTTTAATACTGGTAAATGTCTAACCTCAGCCATATTTAATAGTAAATTATTCTGTAGTAATAAAATTTGTCCTTGTAAATTTAAATTAATTGCTTATTATTTTTGAGTCTGAGTTTTCCATTATCCTATTTATTGTCTAACTGCAAATCACAAAGAAATAAATCATTTTGATATATATCCATCTAAGTTGTAAATTCCTTCCATATATACAACACCTTTGTAAATAGTAAGTATTTCTTAGATAAAGTAGTTGTAAGGCAAATTTTTTTTGCAATAGTTTTTGAACATGCCTATCTTTATCTCTATATGAAAAATACTAGTAATGAGATTCAACCCTCTTATTAATATATGTCAAGTTTATTAAATCTCATTCTACTTCTGTATTATAACACCTCTATTGCTCATAAATTAAATCCTATTGTAAATTATTTTCTTTTTGCCAAATCTGCCTTGTCACTTTTTTTGTTTGA